TCTAAATTTCTAGTTTGAGGTATATTTGAAGGGATTATGCGATTATCATGCATGTCAGTACTTCTTAAGACTATTAAAGCACAATAAAGATTCAAATCAATCCCCGAAATTATCGACTATTCCCCTTAAATTGTAGTCTAACAATATCCCAAAAAATTTAATTCGATTTATACCCAATAAGCCTAACCATAGATACCTCTGAAATTATATTTTAGAAGATGAACCCAACCGTGGCTACCCTGATCTCGCCACCTAATCCTATACCAGTGGTACAACAACCAGCTTTAGTTCCAAACATTAATCCACATAATCTTGCCAACAGGTAAACTTAGGCTACTCTTTATTCTCTACAATATACAACAAAATTGTAGAAAATCTGAGGAAATCATTTTCTTGAAAAATGTTTGTTATGCTTCAAAACGATATTACAACAAAATTTTAGTGGAAGTCTAAGTTTGATTAATCACAAATATCTCATTATTTGGACACAAAATGTCATCAAAGTACTGGAATATTTGTTGTTGTGCTATTAAAAAAGTTTATAAATTCTGTAACAATGTCTTTTTGTGGGTGTGAGATTTCCCTTCAACTGCCATATTGTTTTATTTTAACAGTCCTAGTACAGCTAGGTTGAACATGACACCAGGAAGATTTCGAACCGGACACACACAGGACTACTATTACAGAAAATGGAAGAAATTGAAAAAAATGGTTAAAGACACAGTTTTTGTAAGTTTTTATGCCTTAAATTCACATCTACTAGACATCTCCCAACTGTTCTTACTTATTGCTAATTAACAAACTTCTGTGATACAAGAAAAGTTCCTAGTGATTTCAAGGTATTAGGCTTCACATTTTGAAGAGGTGAAGATGAAAACCTATTAGGTGAGTGGGCGTCACTTGCTTGGCAACTGCTAGTTTGTTGTGGAATAACCTATTCATTTTATTTGAAAATTCAAACCCTATTGTGGTATTTATTTGCAATCTCTGTAAATTTCATTTAACCTATTGTGGTATATTAATTTAGTTTCATTTGGTAGTAAGTAAAACAAGATAAGTTACAAATTTTATTTCAGTATTATAAATCTTTTTAAAGTTTTTTTCCTTCAAATTATCCATAGTGTATTTACAAATGATGATAATGACTGATTCAGAAACAAACTTATATAAATCTGCCTCGGTGTTAGGGATGAAGGAATTTGTCAATATGCAAAGGTGGGTGGTAACAAATAAGATGTTTATGAAAAAGGAAAGCAAGCTGTGTCGTAGAGCTTATACTGAATTTGGATTTTTTATTCAAGTGCTGTGAAGCGTTATGATATTACACCTGGTGAATATTACTTAATATTGTCAATATTACTACTTAGTCATTGTATCATGTTTTCACCAACCTTATTTCTTAATTGAATATTTGTCATAAAAACATATGTTTCATACATTTTTCAAGGCCATGTTATTTAACATTCTCCGTAGATGTGGCACATGTCTGCTACTTAACCTGCGATCAACTGGGGCAAGTAAGTTAGATGCTTGCAGGTTAACCTTCAAGGTTCAATCCTGAGATTTTTTTCGACTGACAAAGAAAAAGCCTCTAGTCAGTCTGATTGGGCAATAAACTGATGCCCCATTTGCAAAACTTCATTTAATTTTACATCTCCAAAATATTTGTCAGAATGCACAAAATCAAATTCATTTTTCTAAAATTTTCTTGAGAGAACCCTCTATGACTATAACACCACCACAGAGTAGCCAAAATTTAAATTCAACCTCAGCAGTTATTCCCCCATTGAGTCCGTCTGCCCCCTATTTGTACCCCTAGTCTCAGAAGGCTGGCTCCGCCACTGCTTGCGTGAGCTGAGTCATTAACTCTTTCTGGAATTGCATCAACCACATCAGGCATCAGACGAAGAATGAGAATGTCCCAAATACAAGTGAAAATAAAAGGCTAGAAAGCCTCTTTACAATCCCTTTAAGTTAAAATTTCTGTATGTTTCAATGCTTCCACAACTATGACATATTTCTACCGTGTTTTACTTTAGCAGTAAACATCTACAACATTTTTATAGAAAAGAGCATTAGGCACTTTTGTTGCATTTCCGAGCAAGTCTATTGAAAGAGTGGGTGTTTGGTTGAAAGGAATTCTAATTATTACATCACACATATTTTCAGGTGCTAGTTATTGATGCTTACAGCTCACTGACAAAGATTAATCAGGCATTTTAATGTTTTAGCAAGTCTATTTGGAAAGAGTGGGTTATTATTAGAAAAGTAGGCGTTATCCAGCCCCATCGCCAGGAATGTATTGGTGCTGGAGCTCAGATTTTGTATTCAGATAATTTGAAGAATTAAAAGCCCAGAGAACACATTTCTGATTATTTTGAGATGATTAAAATATATCAAAATCTATATCTTTTTGATTTTATACAAACACATTGAAAATGAATCAATCTTTACTTAACTGAAGAAGGTTTTGCTGGGGCTTAATTCTCACTTGCTGTGGCCCTGTCCACACGGACCCCACCCCAAAGACGGGGCTTGCTCACTGATAAAGATTTCTCAGGCATTCTAATGTTTAAGTTCTGCTATTGATTCAAATTATGGATTTTTTTCCGCAAGATCTTTTCAAGGTTGCAAATTAAAGTTTTTGACTGTAGATTTATAGATATATTATTATAAATTATAAGTTTATATTTCACTGTAAAAATTTGGTAAATGTATTGTAGATAAAGGAAATCAGTTTTTGTGGTCTAGTTGAAATAAGAGACTTTTTATTCTTTACTGAATTCATATTTTTACTGCTTGTTTTTTCTGCTAAATCTTCCTTGAAATCTTAATACCGTATATTTTAAAACTGTTGTTAACAGCTGACACCATTTAGAAATAAAATTTTTTACCTTTGGAATTTTCAATTTCTGAAATATATTTCACATTCGTGTTCAATAAATAATTACCATGCCCTCCCCCTCCAAAAAAAAACCATGAGGTCTGTTTATCACTCCTCAATGTAACCTTCCACGATGGTTAGAAATATAACATGCCAATTCTCAGACAGCCTAGACCTAGAGCTCAGTTTCTTTTAGAATTTGTCATAAGTATGATCTTCCTCAATGTACAATTTCACAATTATGACAAATTCTTATCATAAGATTTATTGTCAAATGTCACCCTGGTTCTCATAGTAATATTATTTTGATATATTATTGATGTTCTCTGTTTCTATTTGTAGTTAAATGCTGCAGCCTGTGATGAGGTGGTCAGAATAGAAGAAAAACTGGCTAAAGCCAAAGAAGAGAGAAGGTTTGTACAGAAATTAGGTTGTTTTTTTTACTGGCAAATAAAATTTATGAGTACTTCACAATGTACAATGTACAAAATTTGTTTATCTATGGAACTGTTGAATTTCTTTTTTCAAAAATGATATTTTCTGTATCATTAACCTCGTTGGTGTTTCTATGAATCATTTGGGAGCGGAATGATTTGGGATGGGCAAATTGTGGCCACCTAATTATCCAAGAAAGATCATATCAGCTGGACCAGCTTTACTCCAGAACTTCTGCCTCTATTCCAGCCTCTGATGAAAATTTTGACGGTTGTTGACTGGAGTAGATTCAGAAGAATCAGGTTCAGAAATCACCACAAAATGTTTGTCTGTCTCTACACCAGTTGACAACTTTCAAAATAGCCATCAGAGGCTGGAATAGGGACAGATGTTTAGGCCTCTAGCCCTCCGAAAATACTTCATTGATTACTTGTAACCTTCCAAAACAATTTTTTATCATTGGCTGTTTGAAAGTTTCGGTAATCTTCCTTTGATTATTGCAGATTTTTATTAAGAAAGTTGTTACAATATCAGTCTGCGTCCGATATTAATACTCCAATGATTAAACCAGAACCTAAATTACCTAAAAGTCCTACCAGTTCCCTCTTACCAGAATCAGTTGCAGAAATTAAAGTCAAACCGAAGAAGAAAGTTCAACCAGCTACAGTAGACAAGAAGAAATCTGTCCCCACATCCTCTTCAACCTCTAGCGTGGCTAGTAAAGATATAATGGGTTAGTAGCAGTGGTGTTTTTTGTTTTAAAGGAGTACAACAAAATTAATAATTTGGGAACATTAGTTTATTTATAGAAAGGTATTGAGGTTTCTATGGCATCAACAAGCTAATTTCATTCAGTTTTCAGTAATATCATTGAAGGAACTAAAATGATCTGGATGTAATTGTATTTTTTGGAATCTATTTTCTATCACCCTTCAGTTCCTTTAGATATATCGTTGGAACTCAAAAGTTTTATGAAATAAGTCTCGTTTCTGCTCATTGACGAAATAAAGAATAAAAACTTACGCACGTGAGTGAAACAGGTCCCTCGAACATTTTACGTTATTTAATTGCAGACACACTGCAGCCGAAGCCCAAGAAGATTAAGAGTGGTAACGTCAAGAGAACTATACCACCCATTCCGTTAGATAGTCTAGGACGTCCAGTCTTTCCAATGGTGATGGGAGATTTAACAGTCCATAGTATAGGAGAGGTAGGTCTAAACTATTAAATATTCTGGGACATCCAGTCTTCCAAATGGTAGGTCTATAACATAAGATATATTCATCAGTACTATGTAGGCCTGGTAGTGATGCTGATAATCCTGAATATTAAAGAGATTGTAAAGAGGTTTTCTAAACGTTTTTACATATATCGTATCAGTATCAGGGACACTGATAGCATTGAATTCATCATTCCAATTTGCATTTCAACATAGCTATCGTAAAGGCACTTAGATATTAAATACCTGTGTTTTATACCCTAATGAAAATTTAATAAATTAAGTAAAGGAATACAATTTTAAGGTATACTAAATGTTGCTTAAAGATTATTGATATAATAAATGTTTCAAAATGTAGTACTATGTAAAACTATGTTGACTTATCAACTATATTTGTAGATAATGGAGAAGGGAAGTTTTCACAGTATTGATAGTATCTACCCAGTAGGCTATGTCAGTACTAGACTCTATGCTAATATGCATAACACTGATAATAAATGCCTGTATACATGTAAAATATCAGATGTGGCTGGTAGACCAGTCGTAAGTATCATATAATTTCGTGTATAGTGCAATGTTATTTTGAAAAAATCTTGTCAAACTGTAATGCACAGTAAAGACAGTGACAACTTACTGGGTTTGCAGTATCTACAGTGACAGATTTTTCTATATTCACTCAAGTGTAAGACAGGATGCATATAATACATTAGATTTTTAACTTTACAGTAGATCAATTTGCTTACAATATTTTTTGTAAAGTATTTTGTTAAACGTCATTTCATTCTGTGTGGACCAACAAAAGAAACAACTTTTTTCACTGGGATAACAACTTGGGATCATAAGGATCCTCTCTACGAACTAGTCCTTGGCCAAACCTCTTGGCATTTTTCTATCTTGGATTACCCTTACTCATTTACAGCTAGGTCGACTGGAATTGTGAGCCGACTTATTCAAGGTCACAATATTTTTACATGCCGACCGCAAATTGAACCCATGACAATCATTTGTAACCTAGTAAATAACGTTATGTAAATAACCAATACTCTAACCGCTCACTACAGCCCTAAAAATATATTCTTTATTTTATTTTGTAGTTTGATATAGCCCCAGATGAAAGTCCTGATAAAATTATTAGAGCTCATAAACCAGATGATTGTATCGCCCAACTTATACAGATTATCAATAAATCAAGGTTAGTTCCCTTTAATGGTATATGTTCTCATTCATTGTACGGTATTGTGAAGCATGTGAACTAATGTCGGTGTAGCCAGAATTTTCCTTTCATGACATGTCCTATTAAAGGGGTTGTATGGAGGTTTTTCTGGCTTTTCTTATGTTTATCAGAGCCATTTATGCATCATTCCCGTTTTCCGTCAGATGTCTGTGGTTCATGTAATTATAGAAATGTTTAACTGTATAAGAACTCATTCAGTCACTTTTGCAAAATGTGCTAATAATATCTAAGGACCTATGTCATAACACTTTGTGCAAATCAATGCTATCAGGGCCCTGATACACAAATTCAAGTTGCTCTCTAAGTTTGTACATTTTAGTTGTCTTCAAGTGTATATAATTGTATTATTCAGAGGAACAGAATTAGCAGCTATGCCAGGGAATGGGATAGATTTCTTTGGATTATCTCATCCTCTCGTACGAAATTTAATACAGAGCTGTCCCGGTGCCAAGAAGTGTTCGGGGTATAAATGGATTAAATTTGAGATTAATAAGAATGAATCTGTAGAAGGAATTGAACATTGTTCCACAGATCCTGTTGTACATTTTGAGCCATTGAAAAAGTTATTGTCTCAAATTGGTAAGTTGGCAATATTTCACAGTGGTTACAATGGTGGTGCTTGATTGACAAACTTCTGCTCCACCAGGATTCAAGAAATGGAGTTCAAAAAAACAAGTTGGACAAGGTTGAATGTGTTCCGCAGGCGGGTAAATTGACTGTGCCTAAATCAGTATGGGTGAAACTGTAGAAAACCCATTGGTCCAAGGAACTAGAGAAACGCAGTATACCTGTGCAAAAAATGATAGGTGAGAGTAGGTCGCTTGGTTAATTGCAAACTATAACTAAATACATATTTTAACATTATTTGTCTTGAATATATATGTTTTTTCTTTTATTTCAGCTACCATGAAAAATCCTCTATTAGAGCAATCATCTAATTTAAGATCTCTGCTGACCAGTGGACCAAAATCTACCACAACTTCATGAAAGAGAGATGTACTGAATGACCACAATGTTAATAGAATGACATTTTACTCCTCATTCTTGTTTGAATTGAAATATCAACCGAATTCTACTGGTTTTGGGTTAATGAAAATCCAAATCAAGGAAAAAGTTATCATTTGCAAATATGAATTTTTACTGGAAAGAATTTTCAATCAGTGAAGTTTCTGGAAGTCTTTCAAATATATAATTTCCAAACCTTAACATTCTATGAACCCATCTTAGATATTCTAAGACAAATAGCAGACAATTGAAATAATTATATAATTCAATTCTAAGCTCATTGAAGTTGAAAAGTAGATTCCAAATAAAGCTGTAAAAGGTTATTAAAGAAGTGTATTATACCACAAAATATTCCCTTGTGTTTTTATTACTTTCAAATGGATTGAACAACATTTATTTTCTACAAATTTTCTTTATTTTAGTTTTATAAACTAGAACAATAACACAAAGACATGAAAAATGCACAGTTTTCTTTCAAGTTCTTTTTTTTAAGAGGTCAAATGTCTTAATTTCACTTGTGTCTGAGTTATCTCTGTTTTCTTGAGACTGGATGTTACAGGGGTCTATAAACACACTTGACTTGACAATGGAGGCTATTTTAAGATGCGTTCTCCCAAGTTAGACAATCATTTCCAATTCTCTAGCGTACTCTATAGTTTGTTCAGCTAGTTCCTTGGCTGGAATCACCTCTTCCTCAGTCATATCATCATTTACAAAATGAAAGAAACTGTCCCCTTTTGCTTTCCATTTTCTCTGAAAAAAGAATATTAATTTTTTAAATTAATAGTTCTTATGTACTATTGAGTCTATAAATTAATTTCACTGCCCTGCGCCCAATTACATGCATTGAGGAAAATTGCCAGGAGAACCAAAGGACCCCTATTTTGTGGTTAAATCAAAGATATTATAAGCAGCTTTGGTGATAGGTGTCACAAAACACTTAGTTTCAGTAGAATCGCAAGAACAATTTTCACATTTTCTGACTGAAAATTAGATGGATGCAAAAGTGTCCCCAAAAAAGAAAGAGAAAAACTCTACAATCCATTGAAAGAACCTACCTGTTCTGAATATTCTTTCATGAGTTTTTGGTTCTCGAAAAACAACATGCGGGCAGCTTCTGATGGTGCTATTTTCTCATACGCCTTTTCTATACATCCAGCTATCTCATCTCTAAAATAACAAACACAGTTTTCAAGACATAGTCATTGAATTGTATGAGGAATAAAACAGGTTTCAAAGTTCTAAAATCCCACTGCTTTGGTGTCTTATTAGAACAATGTCAGACGACAAGATAAAAAAAGAACAATGTCAGACGAAATATAGAGAATAATCTTGTATACAAAAAGGTATACAAACAGAGTGAAGAAAATAACGTCTCTTGAACAAACTATTTAGCTTTGATCGATAATTGGAGTCTCCTCCCTTGGACCTATTTAGAAATATTTTCAATCATTCTTTAGACTGCAAGTATATAATATATTTTGCTGACAATAAGTTGATTAAAGAATCACCAATATTTGAACTGTGGAGAGAAAGGTGTAAAAAAAAACAGGTAAATACCTAATGGTGTTTAATAATATATCAATAAAGAAATTGTAGTTACCAGCTGGAACATTACCACGAGCTAAAAATACCTGAAAAAAAAAACATCAATATTAATTATGATAAAATCATACATTTTGAAGAATTGATTAAGAATTGCAAAATGAAATTACATAGGGTATAGAATCTTTCTTTTTTTGTTTAAAGATGGGTTCCCTTGTTTTGATTTATGAAAATGCTAATACTTATATGAATAGAAAGTAGACGTGGTCTAATGACTTGGGAAAAATACCAGTTTGTCTCACATGTCCATAAATAATTCATAATTGGCTAAATTAGAAGAGAATTACCAGCAGAATTCCAATGAGTGACAGATCAAGAAAGGTTAAAAAGTCTTTTTTTGTTTATCCGGACTAATTACATGGACATTTATGATTGGTTAAAACTCTTAATTATATGCAATAAGAACATAATGATATGATTAAGAATACATGATAATTCATTAGAAACACCAATTAATCAAATAGTTTGCTTAAAACTCTCTTAACGAAATCTGGTATTATCACAACCAATGTGATTGAATTCGGGATCCTTACAAGAGCAAGCAAGCATTTAACTCACTCACCAAGTCACCACAGTTCTCAAATATATGCCAAAGAATAAGAAAATTATGTATTCCTAATACAGAAAAACTGTTTCGGCCACAAGTAATAAGAATAAAAGTGAAGTTATATTAAGTATTGCTAGTTACCTTATTATAGCAGCCTTCCATTAAATATTGTTCCATTGATACAGGATGTTTAATATAAATATTATTCTGTAGTTCCTTCACTGGTAATAACTCTAATTCCTAAATACATCAAAATACATCTTAGAAATATTAAAACAGAACCTGAAACATGTTGTAACTTAGAGTTTGTTGTGCGATACTCATACAACAGATTGTTTTCAGCCTGTCAGTTTCTATTAATCAATTCGACCATAATTTAATAATAGAATTTACGATCTGATTAAAATCTCGCTAACGAATATTTCAAATGATGATAAAGTAATAAATCAATTCAAAAAGAAGAATGGAAATATCAAGCTTGAAAAAGGAAAAAGTCAGACAAGTTTTAATAACAATTGTGAAGTCTTGGATAGATTGTAAGGTGTACTAAATTCTATCCAATTTATTTACTACATCGAAAAATATGTCGAATACAACATGAATTATCACTGCTGTTGGTTCCACCTACCCTAAAGGGAGATAAGAAAAACATAACTTACTGTATGAAATTCAGCTAATCTATTCTGTGATAACAAACGTAACAAATTTAATCCTAATAATTGATATTTAAATGTAGATTCTGGTAGATCATCCCTGAAAATAACATTTACACATTTAAAGGGCAATCTGTTTTTTGTTTAGTAGCGGTAGCTCGAGAAAGACCAAAACCGAGAGAAAATTGTCGCTTTCCTCATCTGAAAATTTTCACAAGTATCTTGCAGTTAATTTTTTAAAACTCCAATACTATTTCAAAGGATTATTGGAAATCAATTTTGATTCTTTTTTCATAGACTATTGTACTTACTTATAATCCATATAGTAACATTTTAACTGAGCCATGTATCTTTCAAAAGAAGGAATGTCTCTTTTAGCTATCGCCCATTGTGCACCTATTTCCAATATGTCTCCTGGAAGAAAATGTGTTTGCATCAAGAGAAAAATTGCAGAGTTCAAGAGTATTAGAAGGAGTTCGTAATGGCCTGACATTGTGAGTTATGTTGGACCATTGCTCGTCTCAAAATGACTTCATTTGATTTGCATGCACATCAGACTTCAATAGAAACTTCAATTCTGAAGCTGTATGAAGTTACTTACTGGCTATAAGAAGTTCTTGTTTAGATGGGTTAGATTCATCTGTAGGTAAAAAGGTAACTGTTGTCAAAGCAACCTAATATAGAAAAACAAGTATTCATTTAAATACAGAAATAAAAATTAAGCAAGTAAAGCTAAGGTCTAATTCTAAGTTGTTATCTTTGTAAAATATAGATGTTTCTTTCTTTTGAGCCTTACTAGCTAGGCCTACTAATAATACAATCTGCTAGCACAATACCTACACTTGTGTAGCAGCATTGATCATGGGAAAGTCATTGAGATAGATAGCCCTTGGATTTCAAACAATCTCTATAAATCTAATTTCCCCTTTTGAAAATTACGTCTTCAACAGTCAATGAACCTGTGACAAAGCAAAATTGATGTAGTTTGAATCTTTTGATGACATTGAAACCTTCCATGCACATTCAGTGATAGGTTTTGAATAAATCAGATTATTTAAAAAAAGCAAGAACCTTTAATTTGTCGAGCGTTTCCCCACATTTGTCTAAATTCTGTGGTTTTCGATCCCAATCTCTTTTAAGATTTTGATACATCACAACAATTTCTTTCAAGGAAGCCATGTTTACAGAGGTTGTTGCAAATTGTGGAATATGTCACATAATATGAAATAAAAGAATTTAATTTTTTCCTCCAAAATCAGAAATTATATCTGGTTGTATACCAATAATATCAATTAAATTTCAAAAAAGAAAATCCAAAATATTAAAATATATTTTGATTGAAATTATTCCTCCGTGACAAACAGTTCGTTTCAGATTTTTTTTGCGACTCTAGATTAGACTTGGTTTTCCAGTCACTAATCTTCAACCGGCTTCACACAGCCTGCCTTCACACACGTCGCCTTCTCTGTTTTGATCTTTTTAGAATGGAAAACGATATTCTAGATTCTCTAGAAGACTTGGGGTACGGTAACTAAAAACAATTATTTTGATACCAAAACGTGTCTATTGGTTGTGACATTGAAAGATGTTAGTTATGCTGCTGGGTAAAAGATAACATGATATAATGTGGTGATGCTGATTTTATTTGGCTTTTTTACAGTGATTTGATTTGATCACCAAAATATAAGGCTGTTACTTTTAATTGAAGGACATACTTATCCTTTGATTTCAATGACCAGCTTTTGTGCGCCTTTATTGGTCATTTGGGAACTCAGCGCTTTTACATCTTCTTCTTACCCTCTTAATCTGGCCATCTTTATCAAGCCTAATTCAAAAGGCTTACTAGGTACATAGAAGATAGGATGTAAAACTCCATCTCTTTCATGTCATGTCTTCAATGTCTCCAGCCGCTGGAAAATCACATCATAAAATTATATGGCTGGTATAACAGCTTCTATACTAGACACTAGTGTTGAAATATAAAGGCTTAATAAACTACCTTTCTGATGTTTAGGTATACAGGAGAAGTATTGGAAGGAAATGCTCTCAATGCTGCCGTGGAAGATGGTCAAGTTACGGCAGCCTTCACCCAGATCGTAGAATGGGTGACTCTACAGATTAAACAGTTCTGTCAATTAGAAGAAACAATTAATGCTATTTCAACCTGTAGTAAGTATTGAGAAATTAAAGGGGATCCTTAAAAGGGGATTGTAAAGAGATTTTCTTGCTTTTTATGTGTATCAGGTCCGTTTTTGGATTTACAATATCTGTTTCATAAACTAAAAACATATCACTTAGTGTAACTTGAATTGCAAAAACCACAGATATCTGTCTATAAATTGGAATAGTGAAATATCATCAGAGTCCCCAATACACATAGAAAGTGTAGAAAACGATGCATTTATTACAAATGTTTCTCTTTTTTTGCAGATGAGTCTGATGCACAGAATTTTTTGATGGAATTGTCCAGTTTTCTGAGAGAATTAGGAGGTGAGGAAAATTTAGTTTAAAGTTTTTGCCGATGAAATGTTATTTTGCTACGAAAATGTCAAAATGACCAAATATGGCATATAAGAGGTTTCAAGCGGTCACCCACCATATGTATATTAATTTGATACTATTTGAGAAATTTTGAAGGTTGACTGATAAAAGGTTTTGATACATTATTGATTGTAATATGGGTTGAATTAAGTCCCTATCAGATTAATATGATATTTATTTTATTCCAGGATGTCCCTATAAAGTATTTATGGAAGGGTCTGTAAAAGATAGACTGCAATCACGGCAAGATAAACTAAAGCTACTGGGTAAGTTAAAAGGTATTAACCAAATTTCTGCAACAAAGAAAGAAAATTACATGAGCAACACCATAGTGTTGATAGACATTCTGTCCAGGACTCTGATTGACTGTATTCACAAGCATACTATCCAATCAAATTGCTACAATCCTTGATCCCTGGGGTGAGGAGATTGTAAAAACGCCCTTTCCTTCTATTCCAGACTATTTAATAGGTGAACTGAGTGCTATTAAAATTGTGGCCAATAAAAATCCCAGCTTGTTAAAACAGAAGAACGTAGAAAATGGCCAAGTTTCTAAAGAACCGAGTGAGAGTGAGACTGCTGGTGTTTTAAAGGCAATGTTAATAGCTTTAAGTTTTCCTAAACCACCAGAGAATATAACAGCTTTTCAGTTGTTCAGTAAATTGGAAGGAAAGGTTTGTGGTTTCAATTTTCACTCTTATCTATGATATAGATATGAAATAGTTAAGGGTTTAATATTGGTTGTAATATGCTAATCCAATGAGAGAAATATTTTCATACTTCCTATTAATAAGGAGTTTTGAGCTTATCCTCTCCAATAAAAAACAGTCTTGCATCATTGGCAATAAAAACCCAAAAGAAGTCTTGAATCATGCTAAGAGGTATTAATGGGTACAGGAATGAAACACTTGGAATCTTGGAATTTTTGAAAATATATTCAGGTTAAAGAACTCATGTCTCAGAATCCAGAGTTATTTGGTGAAGCGTTACTGAAGGCGAGGCTATCAGAACAACAGTGGAAAGACGTCCTGGAAGTCAATAGGATTCTAACGGAAGAATATAGAGTCAGACGTGAGATGTTGTTAAAAAGAGTAGATGTGACTATCCAGTCATTTAAGTGGTCAGAAAAAGCTAAGGTAATAAGTGATCCATCAACTTTTACAATGTAGGACTGTTTTATTAGTCCTGGTTTGTTCTGAAAATGTGCTAGATGTAACTTTCGAAGCCTTTTTTTTAACTCACAGCCCCAGATTCCCTAGCAGACGACATCCAACTCACTAACGACTGAGCTATTCCACTGTAACTGCCAAATTGTATTATAGAAAAATGAAAGTAGGATAGTTTTAAGATGAAATGAAACGCTTGAATAAGAAGGACAGTATATTTGTCATCATTATTATAATTATATTCTAGAGAAATGAAAATAAGATAGCTGAAGTGTATCAACCAATACGACAAAAATTATCATCCAAATCTAAAATAGATGTGGCAGACATCTTGGCTGCTAGAGATGGTATGTGTCTATCAACTTCATTTTTCTGGACAGAATTTTGACTTCAAGAGAACTACTTAAAATGGAGTTTAATTGTGTGTGAAATGTCACAGGGATTGTATAGAGTTTTCTAAATTTTTTATGTGTATCAGGACACTGATAGCTTCAATTTGCGCCATTCTAATTTTCAATCAGACGTCTTGCAATTCAACTTATATTAGACATCTTACGGAAAGTTACAATAAGGCAAATAGAAGCAGTAAATGGTGCACATAAAAAATATATAAAAACGTCTTTCGTTTAACGTCTCATTAAATAATTTCTCAGCCAATGGAAATTAATATATAAAATGATCTTAATTGGATTCACTGAAAAATGGCTGAGCTAATATTTGAAACTGCTGTTTTTTTTCAGATTTGACGAGATTACAGAAAACTAGTAGTGGAGAAGCTCGAGAGAGAACTAAATGTGCTATAAATAGAGTTCTTATAGGAAAAGTAAGTTTTTCTCTAAAACTCTGACAAAGATAATTTTAAAAAAAAAAGAGAGACAGTCATAATTTACAAAGATAGCAACTTGGTCAAACCTCTTGTCATTGATCTTACAAGGATAACAACTAATATTCACTAGGATCCTATCAGCTGGGCCTCGGTTAAACCTCTTGACATTGATCTTACAAGGATAACAACTCAGGTTCATGAAAGTCTTTTCTACCAGCTGGTCCTTGGTCAAACCTCTTGTCATTGATCTCACAAGGATAAAAACTGAGGTTCATCATGAAGATCCTTTCTACCAGCTGGTCTTTGGTCAAACCTCTTGCCATTGATCTTACAAGGATAACAACTCAGGTTCATGAAGGTCCTTTCTACCAACTGGTCCTTGGTCAAACCTCTTGCCATTGATCTCACAAGGATAACAACTGAGGTTCATCATGAAGATCCTTTCTACCAGCTGGTCTTTGGTCAAACCTCTTGCCATTGATCTTACAAGGATAACAACTGGGGTTCATGAAGGTCCTTTCTACCAACTGGTCCTTGGTCAAACCTCTTGCCATTGATCTTACAAGGATAACAACTGGGGTTCATGAAGGTCCTCTCTACCAACTGGTCCTTGGTCAAACCTCTTGTCATTGATCTTTCCAAGTTACTGTTTTGATAAAATCAAGGCATGTTTTTTGGTCCCTTTTTTCTTAGCCACAATAGTTGTTATCAGGAATATCTCTCCATAAAACATTTTGTCCATTACAGGTTCCTGATCGAGGTGGGAGAGCATTTGAACTGGAACCACCCCCTCCTGAAATGCCAGCATTTATGAAGAGAGTAGATGCTCCACAAGGTGAAAAAAATTAAAAGCCCTAATATATCTTCAGTCTTGATATTTAAAGAACAGAGCCCAAAAATATAAGCCATTTACTATGAAATTACTATGAATGACATCCTAATTCTTTATTTTTGCTTTCACGGTTCTTGAAGTTTTCACTTGTTTCAATGTATTTAAGACAGAAATTTAGTAAGTTTCCAGTTTTAATCAACTATTTTTATTTCAGGTGGTGGTCGTGGAGGAAGAGGAGGCGAAAGGGGTGGAGGAAGAGTT